GCAGTTTGTTGTTCTTAATCAAACAAGATGAAATTCAATGAACATGTTTGTTAAACAGGTAGATAACTAATAAAGAAATTGGTGTGACAAATGAAATTTGCTAAAGTTTTGACTCTCTAAAGTGTAACTTAGTGCAGAGCATGTCTTATAATTGGATCAAGGAGAACGAACAGAAAAAATGTCTGGGATTCCTGAAGAAAAAGATTTGAAAGCAGTAGCAGCCCGCTAAAAACTGTGACAATGCAAGAAAAAATATGCAGATGAATATTGTATCTGAAATTGATGATAATTTCTTTCATTTTAGATTTTCAGAACACACTAGCACTGTTTTGAATAACATTATTTCAATATACAATGGTAGAACTAAACCATCACTTACTAACCTACGTGAACCTTTTACCAGTCTTTTGCATCCATCTTGTTTTCTGTGCCAAAATATAAATGTGTACCAAGTTTTAGATTATTTGATGATGTTTCGACCCTCGAGCAACATATATACCTGAAGTCCAAGGTCCATACCCAGCAAAAAAGTTCTATAGAATTTCAATAAACATTTGAAACACAAGTTCTATAGAAACTCTATAGAATTCTATAGAATTTCTATAATATCTCTGTTAATTTCTATAGAAATTGCTATTCTTTTTTTCTAGATATATTTATATTAAAAAAATTTTTTTTATAGATTTATTAGGCACTTCAGTCACGTGACTGAAGTGCTTAATAAAGCTATAAAACTTTTTATTTACTTTTTATTATATTTATATTCTGAAATTGTCACACGAAGTGTGACAATTTCAGAATATAATATTAGCAAATTTTTCGGCAGCTTTTTCGGGAATTATTTTAATGCTATCTAATTTCAAACCCAATTACCAGTAATATTTCACTGGCAAATAATTGCAAAAAAAAATGTTGATCTGTGAAGATTATTCTGCAAAGTTTCATAAAAAAGAAGCTAGAAGAAGTCGTTATAAATTGCTTTTTCTGGGATTCAATTGGGAGTTAATGAGTACTTTAAACTGCATATTTTACAAATATGCAGTTTAAAGTACTCATTAACTCGTTAACATTTTTTTCAATTTTATAAATATAATATTCAGTAAACTCGATGTTTTTTATTTTCAAAGTTTTTTTGATTACATCTTAACATTTTGCGTTTGTAAATCTTTTAAATTGTTTCTAATATTATGATATAATATTGTTAAAACTGTGCGTGCATTTATGCTTATTTCGTATAACATTCAATAGTTCTTTTTTAAGAACTATTGAATTTTTTAAATGTTTTGGAAACAATCAGAGTAATATCTTGTGTCAATCTAATGGGTAACTCTCTTCCACCACATTTCATATTTAAAGGAAAAACTGCTAAGTCTCTCTCAAGTATTCAAATCGAAAATGCCCCAGAAGAAAGTATATGGAGTGTTTCAGACAGTGGTTGGATAAAACAAGGCATTACGTTTCTATGGTTTACAAAGTCATTTCCAGAAAATTTGGATTTTTATTAATGTATATGAATTTGTTTACTCTTATAATATATAAAAAGCTCTCGTTCTTTAACTAAAACTTATTTTTTTGGTTTTTACAGAAATTTTATTGCCTTTTACCCAATTGCCCCAATTGGGGCAAACAAGGACTGGGAATCTTACATATATTTTGGATTTTTATAATTGTATATGAACTTGTTTATTCTGGCAATATGAAAAAGTACTTTTTCTTTAACTAAAGTTAATTTTTATTATTTTTACAAAGCTTTAATTGTTCCTGGTCCAATCGCCTCAAATCGGGGAAAGATGACCTGAAATTTTATGCTTTTTTTTGATATTTATAAATGTAAATGAATTTGTTCACTCTGACAATTTGAAAAATCTCTTTTTCTTTAACTAAAATCATTTTTTTCCAGTTTGAACAGAGCTTTTTGTATTCTTGGCCCAAATCGCCCAAATGGGAAAACGAGCCCTTTTTACATATTTTCCTAATATTTATAAACAAAAATAAATTTGTTCATTCTGACAATTTGAAAAGGCTCTCTTTTATTAACTAAAATTAGTTTTTATTGTTTTTACAGAGTTTTTATTATTCTTGGTGCAATTGCCCTAAATAGGGAAAACAAGACCTAAAATTTTTACATATTTTTTTGATATTTATAAATTTAAATAAATTTGTTCACTCAGACAGTTTTAAAAAGCGGTTTTTCTTTAACTAAAGTTAATTTTTACGGTTTTAACAGAGCTTTTTATACTATTGGCATAACTTGCCCCAAAATGGAAAAACGGCTCTTTTTTCATATTTTCCTACTCTTTATAAATATAAATGAATTTGTTCATTCTGGCAGTTTGAAAAAGCTCTTTTTTTAATTAAACATTTTTATTATTTTTACAGAACTTTGATTGTTCTTGGCCCAATTGCTCTGAATGGGGGAAACAAGCCCTAAGATTTTTACATATTTTCTTGATATTTAGAAATGTAAATGAATTTGTTAACTCTGACAGTTTGAAAAAACTCTTTTTCTTTAACTAATGTTAATTTTTACGGTTTTAACAAAGCTTTTATAGCTTTTGACCCAATTGCCCAAAATAGGGCAAACGAGGAGTAGAATCCTTACCTAGGGGCCCCCTATTATGAGAATAATATTTTGTAGAATTGAATACTTTGATTCTTTAGAAAAAAAGAAAACAATAAAGATAATTTAGCATAAGTGCTCAATAAAACTCTTTCTCATTGATGGCATTTGAAAAATAAATCTAATATCAAAATTTGGTGCCATAAATCTTTATGGAAAACTCAACATATTTTGACGCAAAATAGCGTTATTAAGCCCAACATAAATTGTCATAACTTGGGAACCAGTTACTCAAATTTAAAAAACAAACTCATTCTGAAAACACATCCTTTTTTTAAAACCTTTTCTATTGTCAAAGAAAGAAAACTTTCTTATAAAACATTGTATAAAATTTAACGTTATGGTTGTATAGCTATGTATAGCGTTATACTAAATCATTTTTTGCAAAAATCACATTACACCATCTTGTTTTTATAATAATCCTATGGATAGCAACTTGTTGATATTCAAAGTTTATGATGGCTGTATAACGGATTTGTTAAAATCCGTTATCCAGTTATCATCCGTCTTTGATGTTTTAGTCAGGTAGTTTTTTTTAATAATATTATAATAATGATTTGTCATTTTAAATGTTACAACAAATAAACTTCTAATTTTTTGAGAGATGAACTTTTAAGCAGTTAAGTTTTTTTTCTTTAATTTGGTTACTAAAATTAAAATTTATTTATAAACGTAAACTCAGTTTTGTGAACGGTCATAAAAAATATTTAAGAAAAAGTATTTAAAACCATAAAGTCGAAAATGCGTCTAAAAATGTAACAAAACGTTATATTTTATGACAGCGCATAGTCTAATTATTTAACGCTTCAATAGTATATTACTACGTATGGACGTTAAACGTTTACGCAACATTTGACATGAACTAAAAACAAAACTAGCCTTTTGTTTATTAGCGACTCATAACTTATGACTAAGATGCAGAATTCGATTTCTAAAATTATTTTTTTATTAACAAGTTGAAAAAAATAAATCTTTTATAAGAATGTTTTTATAACAGTTTTTTTTTTTTTAATCTCAAACGTAAATATAAAAACTTAAATAATGTTTTACATGATTTGAAAGAATTTTGTTAAGTTTACAATTATTTCATGCAAGTTTGAAAAAGATCAAATGATTTTATCCGATGATTGATCGAAGTCTTGCAATTGATGGAAATTGCGTGTTTAATGGAGTTCATGTGTATGTTGGAGGTTATGTGTTTGACGGAGATCGTGTGTTTAGTGGAGGTAACACTTGATTCATGGAAGCTATGGCCATGAAAACAAATATATAAAGATACATAACCTTTTTATTTAGGGTTATGTTTCTGATGGATGTCATGTGTTTGATGGAAGCCATAAGAGCTTGAGTAGGGTTTTTAGTACTTGATGGAAACTTTATTTTTCACAATATCTCTTCAAAATTAAGATAAAAATTAAAACTCATAAACTACAGTATGTATAGACAAAAAAACCTTAATTGCAATTATCTTTAGCAATCAATTGATCAATACGTTTTGTAGTTATTAAACAGTTTGCAACTTTAAAAATTTATGATTTTATACAATCAGACTAATTAGTTTCTAGACAACAAATTTTTTTTTGTTATCAGACATTAATACAAAGATTCAGACAACAGACCGGAATTTAATCATTATGCTAAATAACAACAAATGTTTAACCAGAACAATACGTCACGCTTCCTTTTGTTATTTTTAACCAATCTTTATATATTTAGTTTAGTACTTCCGTCTTAAAATAAATGTTAGAACTAATATCCTAAAATGCACATTTACACTTGCCCATGGCTTATACTTGATATTTCGTTTTTGGTGGGAAACAACAAAATATTTTTTGGCTGTAACTCGCCATTTTCTTTTATATCAATATAATGGCAGCCTTACGATATCAGCGAAATTATGAACAATCTGTTATTCAGCCATCATCCGGCTTTGAAATTTTAACCAGGTTTTAAAGATTAAAAAGACTCTGATTAATTATTTTTAGTTAGTTTTTTATAAAATACTTTACTAATTTCTACAACAAACCACAAAAATTATAATTACATATTATCAAGCGTTTAACCAACCTTTTTTTTATTGTCATTATTAAAAGATTTTTAAAAATTTTTGTTTACTGTACCCATAAACACAGCCATAGCCGCAATACCAAATAGTTTTATATTTAAAATAAAATAATTTCCTGAAAAGATCAATTCAAAATAATGGTTTTTACTTTCTAATACTAAAGTTCATGACTTAACATTGTTATTAAATGAAAAACAAGTCAAGAAAAACAGCAATAAACTAAGTTTTAGGCGATCAGGAAACAACTTTTTTGTTGCTGTTGTTATCTGTCATTTTTTAGAAATAATAAAATAACATTGTAAGTATGTTAACGATTGTAGCAAACGTTTCGATAACGGAAAACGCGTCGACACTGTTAGAATTATCACTTTATCTTATCCGTTACAAATCAACCGAAGAAACGTTTAAACGGACTATACTGCGCATAAAGATCTTGTTTGCCTCCAGAATAAAATGAAAGTTTTTCAGATATATTGCATAATTTTCTTCTATTTTTTTTCAAGGTAAAACTTTTTCAGACTTGTTTTTCAATTGCTGGAATGTTTCAGCACGTTTTATGTGGAGCTATATTATTTCGGCTTCGTGTGCGTGTGTGTGCTGCTTCTGACTTTTTTTTGCATTTTGTAATATCTTTAAGTGTGTTATTTTTATCTTAGTATTTCAGATTTTTAAATGTATTTTATTTTCTGACTTTATTTTTGTGCTGCAATGTTTTTCATTTGTTTATTTATTCATGTCGTTAAAATATTTTCCGTTGTTTTCGTGTTGTTGTTACACATTTTTTCAAATTTTATTTTTTACTTATAAAATTCTAAAAATAAAACTAGCTGTTTTTTTATTCATAGCTCAATTATTCATACTCTGAGATATTTATTCATACTCTAAGATATGGAATAATTGAGGTATGGAATTCCTGCCCGTTTACATGGCACCAAATACTTTACTAAGACTTTTTTTTTAAATTGGAAGTTTATTTACTATAAATTAATTGGAATATAAAGTAACTTAAAATTTAACAGTTGCAAAAATGTAATAAAGCTTGAAAAAAAAACAAAAAACGTTGAGATTTCTTAGTGCCAAATAAAAAAGTGTAGACGTTTATTCGGAATCTCTTGCTCTGAACAAAATTGTAACAAAAAAAATTACACACGTTTTTTATACCACATTGAATTAAAGTTTTGTTGTCACATTGCAAGAAATGATTCCAACAGAATTTTTTCCATGCAAAGGTTAAATGAATGGATTTAGTTTAATTTTGATTTAGTTTTAAAAAAAAAAATTTGTAATTTGTGCTGTTTATAGACAAATTTATAATGCTTAAAAATATTTTTACAAACTATATTTATTTTGTTTTTGTGAAACTTACTAAAAAAAAGTTTACACGTTTTTGACTATGTACTAATGAAGAAATTGTTATTGAGAAAATTTTTGCTAAATTCATAAATAAGAAACATTAAAAAAATGAAAGGAACGACTAGATTATTTTGATAAAGAATAAAATATCAAAGAAAGTGAAAGTAAAAACTTTATTTTAAAAATTGTTTCTTTTTTTTAACTGCGGTGTTTGAACTCATTTTTACGCATATCAGTTATATATATATATATAATCAGCTATATATATATATATATATATATATATATATATATATATATATATATATATATATATATATATATATATATATATATATATATATATATATATATATATATATATATATATATATATATATATATATATATATATATATATATATATATATATATATATATATATATATATATATATATATATATATATATATATATATATATATATATATATATATATATATATATATATATATATATATATATATATATATATATATATATATGTATCCTACCTCATTTTCATCGTTTATTAAAGATACCGGACTAACACACAGAGACACATTTAAAATTTTTTGCCGATAAACACAAAAAATAAAATAAACAACAAAAAGTATCAAACTTCAAATATTTCTAATTTTACTTATTTGTATTCTTTTTTAAATCTTGAAATTTTTAAATTGTCAAATATAAAAAAAACTTCTTCCGGTTAAAATTTTTTATTAAATAACAAAGAACTCTTTACAACTATTCTTATAAACAATCTTATTTTTTATTTCTGCAAAAAAAAAAAAAAATTTTTCTTCCCAAATGTAAAATAACAGGTGCCTTTGTTTTAGTATGACACCATGTGAATGCCACTATATATGAATTGGTGAATGTTAAAAGGGCGGAAGTCCAATAATGTAAACTTTCGGGAAACTAAAAAAAACTGCATTTTCTCCCGTAGTCAATTTTTGTTAATGGTTCAATAATTTTTTTTTGAAGGTAAAAAAACATTATCCTCTTCAAAAAAAAAGAAATTATTAAACCATTAACAAAAATTTACTTCGGGGGATGAAGTTTTTTTTAGTTTCCCGAAAGTTTTTATAGTTAGACTTCCGCCCTTTTAACATTCACCGATTCATATATAAAACTCATAACTTTTTTTTAGACCTGCTTCTTTCTCAACGCAAGAAGATATTTTTAAGGTAAGATTTTGACTGAGAGCTTTTATATTATTATTTTATTTTATCTTATTATAAGTTTCATGGTATAATATTTATTATAACTAAAATTAGTAATTTGACAGAAAATCTACAAGTTTTTAAAACTTTGAACAGCTTCTTGAACATACCGTTGTTGTGTATTTAAAAGATTAAAATTATCACTTTTTCACTTTAAAATTTTCTATGAAATTGCTTACCGTAACACGTTACTTTGGCCAGCGGGGTTACTTTGGCCATTTTTAAAAACTTCAATTAAACCTCTGTGACTTTTAAACATTAAAGTAACGTTTTACTATTTTAAAAAGTAAAACGTTGCTATTTTAAATAGTAAAACGTTACTTATCTGTTTAAAAGTTACAGATGTTAATTAAACTTTTTAAAAATAGACAAAGTGTTACGGTACGCACAAATATGAGTTTCTAATACGTTGTTTGCATATTTTTCTTACAATTTTAATGATTTTTCTTGTCATGTTGATATTTTAACGCTATTGGTTGATTGTTGTTATTGGCTAAAAGTAGGTGCACCCTACTTTTGGATAAAAGTGATTATATTTAACAATTTATACAGTTTCCATTTGTTGTTAAATTGATTAAATTCCCAATGTTGTTAAATTGCTTCTTATATTTGATATCACTCTCATTTTGTACTAGGTTTTTTAAATGATTTAAAAATACAATTAAACTATTAAAATGTTAATTTTTATTCCAAATTATTTTCTAACAAAATAATATTGTACTCCTGATAAACTAGAGAATAAGCTAGACCAATTAATTTGTCTTCTTTTCTGACAAACATTGTTGATTAAGTTTTTTACTTATTTAAATTTATGATTAAGTCGTTTAAGAAAAATAAAACTATAAAAGCTCAATAGAAAATCTTAAAAGTGGTTCACCATAACCGGTACAATCGAAGGCTTACTAGAAATTCTTACTAAAGTGACTCACTGTAACCGGCTACAGTTAGGCGCATTGTGACATTTTATATAATAAAAATGTATGAATTAATTTTTTATATTATTTATATTGTTATTTTTATAAATTTATTTTTTCCAATTCTTCCTTGCATATACTGAAATTTTGTTGTTTTTCTTCCATAAAACTTCTATGCTATAATTAACTAATGTAGGGTAGGATTTTACCACTTTTGCTGCTTTAATGTTGTCTGTTCAACCTGATACGCTTTTTCCGTATACCATTAACTGAATAATATTAGAGATTCCCTATACCATTAACTGAATAATATTTGAGATTGGTATTGAATATCGGATTTCCTTTTTTTGGGGAGAAACTTGTGCACCATCTGAAACATAGATAATATTCTGCAAGTTTTAGATTTTGGCGCTTAGGGTAAAAATGCAACAAGATAATTATTACCGATTAGCATAATAACTATTTTTTTAAATATCGATGCTTGCATTGTATAATGGTGTATTTTAAACATGCTAATTGATATAGAGGCTATAAACAATCAGAGATGGTGATGATTTAAAAATAAGAAATGCAAATATAAAAAATGCATTTTTAAACACAAAATTTAAAAATGTCGTTTAGAGAATTTTAGAAAACTATTTTTACGTTAAATTATAAAGTACTTTAGTTTTAAATGTATATCTTTTTATATAACTATTGATTTATATTATTGAGTATAACTATTGATTTATTATATCTTTAAAATACTTCTAATAAATTACTCATATGTTAATTCCTGATATTTGTCCAATGGTTTTATAAAGTTGCTCATATAATAATAAATATTAATATTAAATATTGTTCAGAAAGCAAAAATATTGTACATTATATATCTTTTTAACTGTGGGACTATTCTATCATTCTGGGGCGAAATCACCCCACAATATTGGACAAAAACCAAACTTGGACAAAAACCAATTTAAAATATATACCACGAACGCCAGTCAAATAGTTTTTACAAATTTATGAAGTTCTCACTTTAGCAGTTATTCTCAAATGTAGTTTTTTCAATTTCACAAAACTAATAATAATTCCACTTGGAACAAAATTGACACGATGATATCAAATAATAACATTAAAATGCAAATCTCATTTAAAATTTACAACAACCAATCATGTTAGGCGGCAGCTATGATCAATTAATAATTATAAGGTTACAATTTTAAAATATTAAATATTTTATATCATCATAAAAAGGGTTTATGCCAGAATAACATCTTTTTCTTGAAATATTAAAAGTGGCGAAATCGCCCTCATGGCAAAATCGCCTCGGTCTACACTACTATATATCTACTGCATCATCATAGACTCCCATTTTCTTTTAAGAAAGACCTTGGTAGTTTGGATGATTCAGATTTATTTCAGATTCAGGCTGGTGTTTATTGGTCTACACAAAACATTTAAAAAACACAACTAGAAGTGATCAAGGAGTTTTCATTAATCCTGCAGGATAATAAATTAGCCACATAGACTCATTAATCCTGCAGGATAATACATTAGCCATTACACAGACTCATTAATCCTGCAGGATAATACATTAGCCATTACATAGACTCATTAATCCTGCAGGATAATACATTAGCCATTACATAGACTCATTAATCCTGCAGGATAATACATTAGCCATTACATAGACTCATTAATCCTGCAGGATAATACATTAGCCACATAGACTCAACTTTTAAGACTTAACACAAACTGTTCATTGCTTTCTTAAAGGGATCCCAAACTCCCAACACATGTTGTGTTCATATTAAAGATAATGTTAAAAAAAAAGGTTTGAACCAAATTTTTTTGATTAAAAATAAATAATAAATGCATACCGTGAAAAACAAATGTTGTTGTTTTTGCCGAAGCTCGTCTTCTCCATTTTTTTCAACTACTCGGAGTCTTCAAATTATGCGTCGCAATCTACAGACTTTGGCAATTCCTTTGAAGCGCGTTTAATTCATAAAAGTTTACCTTGACGTCAAATTTAGTATTTGACGTCACGGTAGACTTTTAACAAAAGAAAAGTGTAATTAAACTAAGCTGCTGTAGTATTTTTTTATCATACAGCAAAACAAATTTATTTGTATTATTTTTCTAAACATCGCAAAAAAAATTTTGTAAAAAGTAAAAACAATAAATTATTTTTATTTTATAGGAGCAACTTATTTTTTACAGATATCTTAATAATTTTTAGATTTATATATCTTACTTATATTTCTTTAATTATTTAAATTAAAACAAATATTAAAGCTTTACTTACCAATCTCATGATTTTCATAAGAGTATTTTACATTATATAGAACGTTTTATATACGGTCTCTTGTTTTAGCGCTAGAGAGCGCAGTATTATATATTCTGATTCTTAATTATTTTTATTTAAACAATGGGAACTATTTTCTAACTTCTCTGGTTATTTTTACGCTATGACAATTTTTTGTTTTCCCGTTGAAAAAAAGTATTTGTTAACAATTACTTTCATAAACTAACAGTATTAATTAGAGATATTTAATGAATTGTTAACTTTTTTTATTATAAAATTATTTTGATCACGCTGATTTAATTTAAATTGCTAAATTTGCTGAATTGGATACGGATAAAAAGGAAATACCATTTTATTTTACATTTGATTTTTGATAATGAAATTTTTAAAATGTCAGCAACTCCATACCAATTAGAATCTGTTAAGATAATGAAAAAAAATACAAGAATACACTAAACAATAGTTTAGTGTATTCTTGTACTTTTTTTTAACACTTGACAGTAGTATCAGATATGAAAATTCGTGATTGTGAGTTTACTGTTCAATATTTTAAAACCATCAAATAAAAAACATGAAGTTTGCATATTTTTGCCCGTTTTATACAACTAATATTTAACCAAAATACGGACAAATTATTATTAAATAACGCAATAATTAACACATTAATTAAAGGCAATAATTCAAGATGGTAATTTAAATTGTTAAAATGTCATAACGCGCATTAAAAAACATATTAGGTATTTCCAAATTTGTGTCGTAATTGGCATTTGTCTCTTAACATGAAAAATTAAAAATTTTTAAAAACACAATTAACAAATACAAATTTTCAAGCAATTTTCTCTTCCAATTCTCATTTATTCAAAGATTATTAAACTTTTATTTCTCTCATCTAAAAAAAGAACGAGTGACGCAAAAAATATATATATTCTTTACAACATATAATATATATATTCATTCAAAGTTTAATTGCGCGAAACTTTTCTTTCTCTTTTGTTCTACTCTTTTATAAAAAGAGCGTCCGACGAAATAAAAATTTTTCTTTTTTAACATATAATTATAGTTTGAGATAAAATTAAATTAGAAATAAATCAACAATGAGCAAAGCAACGAACAGATTAATCTGGAACTATTTTGATATTTATGAAAATAATCAACATAAACAACATTACCAACAACAGTTATCAAATAAACAACACAATCTCGCATAATTTTAGGGGCATTTTATTTTTATTACTTAGTCGTTCTAAATAATAAGTAAATTTAGTTTCAAGTTAATAATTCAATATTTACAGTTGCAATAGAATAAAGAAATGGTCTTTAATACTGAACTTTTTATTTAGTTTTTTACCTACATTTGTTATAAAAAAAACTTTAGAACCCCCGTCATTAAAATAATTTGTTTTAAATATGTTTCGACGTGATTATTCAAACTAATTTTTTTCGTTTGACTTTCCGAACTTCATGCAAAGCAAATTGAAACGAAATATCGTCTAACCAAATAAAAAAGCTGTTACTAATTTTATACGGGTAATTAATGTAAAACAATTTTTGAGATAATAAATATTCATAATTTATAAACATTAAATATATGGCGCAATAACAATTTATAGCAACGAGCCAGTTGTTTAAGGTTTTTAATATCTTTTTAAATATTAAAAGTAGAAAAAAAAAAAAAACTAAACAAATAATCAAAAAAACTTCGACTAAAAATAAATAAGAATATTTCCAGAGTTTCTTTTGTTAAAAGCCTACCGTGACGT